AAGTTAGGACAGACTCATTTCGCAGGACTTCTGACTTGTAAGTTGTTGTTCTCTCATTGTTTCCATGGCTCTTGTGAGAAAGGGGGATAGAAGGTCTGCTGCCCTTTCTGTAGCGTAGTTACAAGTGCTTTGGGGTGTTTTTTTGTTTTGTTTGTTTTTCTTTTTTGTTTGTTGACACAGTCTTTTAATATGGATTTCTGGTTTGGCAGAATGTTTGTTAACTAGAAACCATTTCAAACTTCTGTCAGTAAGATTTGTTGTGCTTGAGGTCGGTATTTCTTCACAAATACGGATGGCCTTTTCTTTTCTTAAAATAATAGAAGCTTTAAAAAAAAGAATTGTGTAAAGAGAGAAGCATATTTTGTTTGGCTTCACCAAAGTGCCCCTCGGCTCCGGGCGGCCCAGAGCTCCTGCCTGAGACCAGGCCGGGAGCAGGGAGCGGGGTGAGATTTCAGTTGGGGTCCGTGCATTCCTTTCCTTGTGACTGTGTTGTGGGTCGTAGTTGGCCCAGCACCGGGCGGCTTGAGGGAATTTCCTTAATGAACTTAATGAAACTCAGCAGTAGGAGGTCTATGTCCTTCAAATTTGCTTTGCTCGTGGCTAATCTGAAAAAGATGCATTTTTTTTGAGACCGTTGCTTTTTTTCCTGGAGTCTGCATTCTCAACATGCTGCTTACCAAGACAGAACTTGTCAATACATGTTAGATACTTTCATAAACACAGTCAGGCTACTCCAGAATGGTGTCATCAAATGTCACCCCAATTTTATTTTAAAAAAGGACGAGGTCAGTGTCATTACTGGCTTGAACCAGTTCGGGTGTTCAGTGGGGAAGGGACCCACTTTCCTGGCATAATTGAGTTGTGTGTCAGAAATAGAAATGGCGAGCCTGCACGTGGCACAGTGATTTCTCTACGCTTTCCTCTCGGGTGTGAAGTGGAATGCGTGTCCCACAGCTCCCCGGTGACCTGCGTGGTCCCCTTATGTGGATAAAGCAGAGACCACGGACACCTGTCGAAGGCCGCACGGTGGGCGGAGCACAGCTGGAATGCTTGCCCAGGAATCGCTTCTTTTCTAAAAAAAAAATAAGGATTTTTTAATTGTTTTCAGAGGGAGGGAGGGAGAGGGAGAGAGAGATAGAAACATCAATGATGAGAGAGAATCACGGATCAGCTGCCTCCTGCACGCCCCCCACTGGAGATCGAGCCTGCAACCTGGGCATGTGATGGAACCGTGACCTCCTGGTTCACAGGTTGACATTCAGCCACGGAGCCACGCCGGCCGGGCTGTGCTTCCAGTTTTAGGAAGACCACGTGTCCTCCGCCACGCCGAGACCTCCGTGGACAGAGAGGATTTGGTTTGTAGCCGAGACCCATACAAGGTTTAATGCACAAGATTTCATTCTCTCACCTAAAGAAGTTCAGAGAGAGGAAGTCGAGGGCTTTCAAGGTGGTTCCTCGAGTTGGGAGATCCATTCTTCATCTTCATGGCTCCACACAGCTGCTGGGGCTCTGGCAATGGCATCCTTGTTTCGGGGAGCAGATGGATGAAGGGCAGATGCAGGGCCTGACCTTGTAAAATCGCCTTGAATAAGGTATGGGGGTTCCCAGAATAACCATGTGACGCTCTCTTTGTGTCTCATCGTCCAACCTTAGTGTGGGCCACGCCTGCCTACAGGGAGCCCAGGACCGGGAGCTTCACGGCTTCTCCATCCTTCGAGCCTTGTCTGTGGACGATAGGCAGACACACTGCCATCCTCGGAAAAGCGTCCTAGAAGTGAAAACTGTTACTGTTAGTCATGGTAACACTAACTCATATGTAAGGGATCACAGGCGCTGTCTTCCGCAATTTATATGAACCATCTTACTTCACCTTCCTTAGATGTGGGTGTTATTATCCCCATTTCACAGAAAAGAAATTGTGGTTTAAAAAAAGTTATGTTTTGCCCAAGGTTATGTCTCTGGTAAGGGGTGAGCCGGGGCTCAGAGCCAGACTTGCCTTTTTCCAGATCCCAGGCATCGAATCACTGCGCTGCCTTCTGCCTCTCAAGTGTTAGCTTGGTCATTCATTCATGTCGGCCCTGGGATGGTGTAGAACCTGCTATCCTGTTTGTGGTTTTATAGTCCTTAGCTCTTTACCCTTTTCCCCCAACACACACACACACACACACACACACGCACACTCATTTATTTTTCAAAATCCTTAAGTATGTCTATGCTTATGTAAAAGAACATGACTTTCTATACTTGATTAGTTCATTGTAAGTTGTCTTTCTGTATTTGGGTCAGGAGCCTGCATGTTAGCGTTTTGGGCAGTTTAGAGGAACCCTCAGAGCTAGTGGTGATCACAGAGTGAGTAAGGAAGAGCCCTTCCCCCCAGGCATTGACAGTGCGATTCTGTAGAGGATGGGTTTTAGAAGAGCCTCGGAACATCCAATTATACTGTGACTCGGCATGTGAATCAGAGCTGCCCTAGGTGTGCACACCCAGGTGTCCTGGTAATTACAGGTGTATCGTGGTTACCTCCAAACGGCCACCCACCCCTTCAAAACATTCCCAAGAAATTAGGTAGAGTAAACAGGCAATTCTATTTTAGTACTCCTTATAGTTTCCCCTTAAGCAACACTACTTATATAATGATTTTGGTAATAGGAGCTGAATCTTAATTTACATAAAGTAGATATGGGGTTAATTATAATACCTACTAGAGGCCCGATGCACGAAATTCGTGCAAGAGTAGGCCTTCCTTCCCCCGGCTGCCGGCACCGGCTTCCCTCTGGCACCTGGGACCTGGGCTTCCCTCGCAGCCCCGCTTCGTCCAGATTGGTTGTCCGGAAGGATGTCCGGTCTAATTAACATATTATGCTTTTATTATTATAGATTATTTTGAATGCCCACTTGTAAAAACAATTCAGTTCCTATCTTATGAAATTTTGAATAGTGGCAGAAATAATAGACTATTGTATTAGAAATCCTAGTCAGATGGGGCCGGTGGTGACCTTTGACCGAGCCTGCCGATACAAGCCTGTTTAAGGGTTACCCTCGGTGTGTGTTTTCCACAAGGACCAGGGAAGAAAGACGTTCCCCTGACAGGTGAGGAGGAAGAGAGCCTTGCCTAGGGCTGCGAGGCTGGCGACACCGTCTCCTATAAGACTTCCGTTGCTTTATTCCAGTCTTTGCCACCTGGACATCGGCTATCGAGCGGAGGGACGGGCAAGGATTCTCATCTTGTCCATTTCTCAGCTTTGTTCTCTAGTGCGTCTACTCCTTGAAGTTATTTCTTTACAAAGAAGTCCTCTTTTCCTATCTGGGAGCTCCCTGCCCGTGGTTGCCCCCCCGTTCCTGGTCACGTGTGTACAGAAGCACATGTGTGTACAGAAGAGCTGTGCTCCATCGTGGGAAGGGCTGTTTCTGGAAAGGCATAAACGCAGTCAGCACCAGGGTCTGCCTGGGCGTTTTCACTCTGAGTGTGGAAGCTGCTTCGGTAACCGAGCCCCCTCCATTTGAGAAGTTGGTTTCTGCTGAAGCTGTTGGCCTGTCTCAGGTGCCCTGACCCTCGGTTAACAAGTGGAGAGTCTCCGGGCTCTCCGCACAGTCCCTTTCATCTTCGATGACCTGATTAGCTTTATCTGATCGTGGGAAACATATTTCCTAATTGTCCTTGAGATCATGGGCTTCGTTATTACTTGCAGTGAATTTCACTTGGAAAACTTATACCACTTGGCTCCTAAAGACAATGATAAGTAGCACTTGGTGTTGATCTTTAGAATTAAACAAACAAACAAACAAAAGGGTAAAAAAGAAGGCTTCCCTACACTGCATGCAGCCCTTACCTCAGCACTGAGGGAAGTGGCTTATGCTCATTCATGACGTCATGTCACCAGGGATTCTGCCGTGAACACAGTAGGCATGGTTTCCTCCCACTTATTATGGGAGAAATGTTTATTAGGAATGAGGGGACATGTTTACATAAGGAATCTACAGAGAGAACTTCAGCGGCTTGCCCAGAGTCACTGTATCTGATAACATTCGTATAAATGCGGGATTGATGGCAAAACCGGAAGGCAAGGAGGAAGATTTTTAAAAAATATATTTTATTGATTTTTTACAGAGAGGAAGAGAGAGGGATAGAGAGTTAGAAACATCAATGAGAGAGAAACATCGATCAGCTGCCTCTTGCACACCCCCTACTGGGGATGTGCCCGCAACCAAGGTACATGCCCTTTGACCGGAATCAAACCTGGGCCCTTCAGTCCCCAGGCCAATGCTCTATCCACTGAGCCAAACCGGTTAGGGCCAGGAGGAAGATTTTAAAGCCTTGGAAACCCGGTCGGAGGGTGGGATGTTTCTCTATAGGTAATGGGTAGCCAGCGGGGCTCAGGATTGGAGCGGGGATATAATCTAGGCACTCAGAAAGCATAATTCTGATCCTGAGGTGCCGTCCCATGAGGAAGGGCAGCGATGGGGGTCCCCTGAGGAGCTGGTGATGCTTGCATGCCTAAGAGAAAGCCCTGAAGTGACGGTATGTGGCCAGGCTGGGCCAGGACAGAGAGGAGACACTGCCGTGGGAAATGGGGGGCTGGCGGCTGACTGCATAGGAGGGGCAGCGGATGGCGTTAGGAGTTTCAAGCGAGAAGACTTTGAGAGTAATTCTGGATGCAGTAAGCGCTTAAAGAGCATCAGTTAAGAGAAGCCCGAATGTGCTCTCATGTGACTTCTTTCTAAGATCCTATCTTTGATGACTATCGCCTGGAGTATTTCCTAAAACCAGGAATAAAGTGCCTTCCTGCTCTCCTCATTCCAGATCCAATGGAAACATGTCTTTCTCTGTTTTGG